GGAGTTGCGCTCTGGGAGCCCCGGGCCGGGGCGCAGCGAGTGGATTTAATGTTTAATCGCAGTTTCCTGAAAGTCAAGGGGACTCTGCAGGGTCGTCGTCTTGGTACGTTAACGATCGTTTACTCCAGCAGTTTGAGCGTCATTTTTTACACATATCTGAAAAAACATCTACCTACTTGTGTTTTTCATTCATTTACATACATATACATGTAAAACCTTATATATCTGAAACAATCTTACGTTGATTGTAAAAATTCAAAATATAAAAGATGTTTTAAAATATTAAAATAAAAAATGTACGAAGTTGAGCTGAAAGCGAGACCCGATGGCCCCTCGCCCAAGCACCGAGGACAGCGCCTGTGGCCTGGGACACGTCCTGGTGCTCGGACCCTGAGCTGTTGGTGGCCGTGAGCGCTGCTGGGTCTGGGCACTTGGACACGGATGGCCCAACAGCCCAGGGCCCTGGGCTCCTTCTCAAGGGGCCTCGTCCAAGGAAAGTGAGAAGCGTACCGGCAGCTCCGGTTTCTACAGTTAATTTTGCAGCAGTTTCTACTCAGAAAAACAGCCTCAGGCTCCACAGCAGAAGCCCGGCAGGTAGATGAGCAGTGGGGGGTTGCCGAGCCCAGGCCCGGTCCTACCTAGAACTGTCCTCCCCGGTCTCTGCCACGCCCCATCCCTGAAGACCTGAGAGACAGGCTGGAGTGAGTGCGCCTTTGGAGGCACAGCTCATGGGTTCCTGGAGCCGGCGCTGCACTTGCAGGTTCCAGGTGCCTGTGAGGGGCTGTCGGTCACACCTGCTCCCGGGGAAGGAGGGTCCAGCTTGCAACCTGTGGGCTTTGTAGGACCTGGTTTTTTACAGAATCAGGAAAGCAGTGATGTCTCGGGAGGGCTGGCAGCCAGTTCCGGGCAGCTCAGCGCTGCGCACTGGTTTGGATACCATTCCAGCTGTCGTCGGCGAGGACACGAAGTTGTCTTCTCGCGGTTGCCTCGCATCTGAAGAATGTGACTCCACTCAGGTGGGCCGTTGCCCAGTCCACCTGAAAGGGCGCCATGGGACCCCCCTTTCTTTGCATTTTCATTTGTTTTATTAGGGAACAAATGCCAGAAATGCGAGATGTGAGTGGGAACTACTTAGAATTCCTAAATTCAGCCATAACGCGGACGCTTTTGTTTATCTTGTGGAGGGTGAGCGACAGCCTCAGGCTTTTGGACGCTGTCTGCTGTCACCACCTCAGGCTAGAACCGGGCTGCGTGTTGATCTGAGGCCCTGAGTTGGGTTTTCATTGTGAGTTTCAAAATTGCCAAAAGCATATTTCAGGGTTTTACCAGGTGTGTGCCCTTCACAATTTCCCCCCAGGTATGTTGACTCAATTATTTTAAGAATTACCGAGATAGGATTTCTCAGAGTTTCAAAAGGGACTTGAGGCTGTCTTTAGACAAGACTGTTTATGAACAGAGAAATGAGACAGGACGTGAGCGGGTCAGCAGGTCGCAGCCCCGGGATTAGCCTGGGAGGTGACCTGAGGTTTTCTCACTGTTCTTTTATTCCCAGGGGCTTTGTGTCACAACCGCCTTGTTTTCTTGCCATGTCAGCATCTGCTGGCTTTTAGATGGAATAACGTCTTCCCCGGGGTGTGGGAGCCGCTTTGAACACCCAGCCTTTGTCCCAGCAGCTGCTGGGTCAGAGCTGGGATTGGGCGCCCATGCTGTGAACTTAATCACCAGCCTTCTGGCTTTAAAATATGAACTGTAATGTGTGCCGTTGCTCTTTGCTTTCCTGCCCTTTTTAACCAGGCTGCAGATACTTTGGCCGTGAGGCAGAAAAGAAGAATTTATGATATCACCAACGTCTTGGAGGGGATCGACCTGATTGAAAAGAAGTCAAAAAACAGCATCCAGTGGAAGTAAGTCAGGAGGCAGCCCCACTCTGGACCCTGCTGTCTCCCCAGTGCCCTGCGGAACCCGCCTCTCCGTCCTCTCTCGAGTCCCGGGTCAGCCCGCGTTCCGCTCACGCCGGCCCCCATTTCCCTGGACCTGCCTCACGGGCCTCTGCACATCCCCATGTGTCACTTCTGTGTCAGGCCCTTCCCTTGCTCTCTGCTGATTAGTTTACACACTAAAAGTTCACATCATACGCTCTCCTGCAGGTCCTGTTTGGCGGGCGCACGCCCGCACACCGCTGTGTCTTTCATCCCTCCCCCTGTTGGCTGATCAGCTAATACAGACGCCTTGAGAGCGGAAACTGTCTTACACATGGGAGCACGTACTTTATAAATGATAGCTGGTCGGAATGCACGCTGTCTGTTAGCTGTGCTCTGGTTGTGCCTGAATGCGACAGATACTTTCTGTTTTGTGAATTTGTCCCCTTTGGCCTTAGTTGTTATTTCCTTTAGTCAAAATCCCACCCAACTGTTTAAAGGTTATACTTTATTCTACTTGCATCTCAGTCACCATCTGAGGTACCTAAGTGAGACTGTTTGGCTGTGATATCTTTTTGGCACATCTGTCACCAGCCTGACCTTCCAGATGACAGAAACCACTCTGAAATGTGCTGAGAGGTTTTGTAATTTCATTGTTCTTGCCAAAAAATATTCTAAGCAATCATGTTCAGAGGTGTGGTGATTAAGTTTTTTAACCCTTGATTTTTAGATGAGTGTAAAGATGTTTCTTTTGAACCCATTGCTCCTTAAGTCAGTGTTAGTACTATAAACATCAGGTGCTGTCGACCTGAGTCTGAAGGGGGTTCATTCTCCCCGTGTTTAGGGGGGTGGGCGCCGGGTGCAACACTAAGGAAGTCCTGGAGAGGCTGAGAGACCTCAAAGCCGAGATTGAGGACCTGGACCTGAAGGAGAAGGAACTGGATCAGCAGAAGTCGTGGCTGCAGCAGAGCATCAGGAACGTGATGGACGACTCCAGCAACAGCAGATATCCTTTACCTTTCAGGGTTCCACCCCAGGTCCGGCTGGGAGGGTGGGTTACAGGTGCAGGTCCGGCTGGGAGGGTGGGTTACAGGTGCAGGTCCAGCTGGGAGGGTGGGTTACAGGTGCAGGTCCGGCTGGGAGGGTGGGTTATAGGTACAGGTCGAGCTGGGAGGGTGGGTTACAGGTGCAGGTCCGGCTGGGAGGGTGGGTTACAGGTGCAGGTCCAGCTGGGAGGGTGGGTTACAGGTGCAGGTCCGGCTGGGAGGGGGGGTTACAGGTGCAGGTCCAGCTGGGAGGGTGGGTTACAGGTGCAGGTCCGGCTGGGAGGGTGGGTTCCGCGGGCACATCTGTGGGATGTTTTGACTTCATCGGTCTCCCGCCCTCGTGAGCTTCTGACCGAGCTGCACAGCTGGTTTCATGCCCCGTCCTCACAAGCCCATGACCTCACTCATTATTTTCTCTCTGGTCAGGGCGCCTTAAGTGTGATAACGGGTGTGTTTCAAGCAGTGCCCTGTGGAGTCCTGAGATTCAGAGCCCACTGAACACATTGTATGCGGGAAACGTATTTATACGTTTTACGTTGACTGGTAGTAAAGCGCTCGATAAAAACTACCGGCAAACAATGTGTGAACTGGCTGACCTTGGACTTGGCTGCGCTGCTTTCCGAGGTTCTAGCCACTCCTAGGTCCCCAAAGCGCGGCCTAGGAAGTTTCTGGCCGTGGCGGCTCCGTGGCTGTGGAGTCCTCTTCCCCATCAGTGCTCCCTGCCCACCCCAGAGTCTGGCTCCGTGAGGAATGGGTTTCCATCTGTCCCCCAAGGGTCCGCAGGTGTCACAGACATCAGAGCGCAGGACAGACCCTCCTTGGGGGACCTCAGCTTGCTTGTCTCTGCTTTTTCAGACTGAGGACCTCGGTTCTCTCTCCTCTGACCGTGTGTGGCAGCCCCACAAGCGTTCGTCGTTTGGTTTATTTAGGCCTCAGGTTTATTATCTTAATGGAAATGCCTGGACCTTGATACACACGTGTCCCTTAACTCCCTTGACGTACGTTCTCCTACGTGACCCACGAGGATGTCTGCAACTGCTTCAGTGGTGAGTACGTGCCTCCTCGGATCACCCGTGTGCTGTGGAAACTCAGAGTCCGTGCTTCCCAGGTCACTCTCAGGAGTGGGCACCTCGTCTCGCTCCGCAGTGCGCTGGGTCCAGAGCCACTCACGTTTCTGTTCCCGTGGCAGTGACCGCTTCTCACAGCTCACGTCACTGTCTGCGTTACTGTCAGCGAACTGGGTGGTGGTGCTCAGTCTGAGTGGGGTAGAGCAGGTCTCAGTCACAGGCTCACAGTCGGGTGGACCTGAACGGTGCTTGTCGCTCTGTCTGCGAAGCTGCAGCGAGTGTGCTGGTCACAGACGGAATGAGAGAAAATAGGATCCATTTGTAACCAGGAGAAGTGTTCCTACCCCCAGCCCACCTGCCTGTGTTCTCCCCAGAAATGACCACATAGTGATGAGTAACTGACGGGATGGGCTGTGTGCTGTAGTCACAGCCAACACAAGTAATGAAACTGTGCGCACACGTGTTGTTTAATCACGCCTGTCACAAGTACAGCCTGTCACTGACCCTCCAGGAGGGTATGTGGCTATTTCCCAACTTGGCCACCACGGGGGAGGTCTCAGTCTTTCCTGGAGACGGGAATGTGGCTGCACAAGTGAGCTCACTTCAGCTCCAGAGTTCAGTGTGTCACCCCTCATCTCTAGTGTCCCCAGTCACTTAAATCGTTTAGATATTTCAAGTAGACAGTGTGAGTTAGTTGAAGTTAAAAGGTTTCCAGAGTCTCAGACTTCACAGGAGACCGAGTGAAAGCAGGTTGGCTTGAGCTGAGCTTGCTCGTGAGAACAGCAGATCCAACACTGAGTGTTGCCCTGTCCTGAGGCCTGGTGCATCCGTGACCTCATCAGCACAGCCCCTGCAGGGAGTCACGTCCCCACTCTACAGAAGAAAGAGCCCAGTCCTCGCCCAGCCCGGGATTCCAGCCCAAGCCTCCTGTCTCCAGGGCCCACCTGCTTTCCGCTCTATTCCTGGACCCATAGTATTTCAAAATCTTTCGGTCTTTTTTTGACAGGCGACACACTGTTGGCCATCCAGGCACCTTCTGGCACGCAGCTGGAGGTCCCTATTCCGGAGATGGTACGTGGGGACTTGTTAGAGTGGCCCTGCCGGCTCGGGAGGCACAGATGTGTCTCCTTTCACCAAATAGGAGCTAACTGAACACTCTCAGGCTGTCTCTCTGAGGGTACTGATACTGAACTTGACCTCTTCAGTACTTTGGTAAAAGCGTAGGCGTGACTGAATGAATTATGTAACATTTCATTTTTTAATTTTATGAGTTATGATATATTCAAAATCTTTTTTGTCAGTTTATTGTGTTCATTAGATTCCACATATAAGTGAGACAGTCAATAACCCTAAAGTGTCAGACTGTATCTGCAACTGACACATCAGTCCTGACGGAGGACACAGTTCAGTTTAAATATCAACAATAATATATTGCTTTAAATTGGGTCTTTTAAAAAACATTTTCTGGCTTATTGAATCAAATATATGTATTGGCTTGGTGCTGTGTATAAGTTTCATGACTTTAGTTTTGGATTCAGAGCTCCTTAAACAAACGGATTTAAAAGCTGTACCAACCAGAGAAGGGGGGGCAAAAGGCGGTCACTGTCATCCACTCCCTGCCCCTGGCCACCCTAGAGGTGTGTCTGTCGGTGGTTATGTGATTGGATCCTGCAGCCTCGGGGTGCAGATAACCTTTGCAGTGCAGGGACGGTAGGCCTGTCTCAGTAGGAAAAATCGTGGTCTTGTGCTCAGTGCATGGAGGAAAGCCTGGCTTGTGAAGTGGGTGCCATGTAAGACATCTGCTGGGACGGGCACATCGGCGGGGCCTGTGCCCGGGAGGGCTCCCCACATGCAGAACATGGGGAGCGACAGTGACGTTAATACTAAAATGGAGGGTTCACAGAATTCTACAGCTGAGAGTCTTTGATGCTGTTTTTGAGAAGAGTTTACTTTCAGGAGTGGGGGGCTGAGAGCCTCCGTATCTAGTTCCACTTGTGGTCTCCACCCCGTGTCTCCACCTGCTTACTGCCTCTACTTTGTTGAGTGGTTTAGTTAGCCCCTAGCAACTTTCTCTCATTTTTAATGTTAATAGTTACTCATTTGTTTATCCCCAAAAACAACTTCAAGGGTCAGAACGGACAGAAGAAATACCAGATCAACCTGAAGAGTCACTCGGGCCCCATCCATGTGCTGCTGATCAATAAAGAGTCCAGTTCGTCTCAGCCCGTGGTTTTTCCTGTCCCCCCACCCGATGACCTCACGCAGCCCTCTCAGCCCTCGACGCCCCAGACTCCGCACAAGCCCAGCCCGGCCCCTCCGAGCCCCCCCGGGCAGCCCGCCTCCGAGAGGGGCCTGGGCCTCCAGCACTTGCCGACCACAGACTTGGCTGCAGGTGGGCCCAGAGCTTTTCTGAATTTGTCAGTTGTCGCGTGACTCTATTGGCTGATTCAGGAGGAAATAGGAAGCTTAGTTTAATCAGCATAAGTGATGTAGTGCCTCTGGGTCCAGCACAGGGACAGGTTTATGAGGGAAATTGAAAACAGGTCCTTTCTCTTTATATTATCAATGTTTGCTTGTAGTTATATGTATCATCACATAAGTAGTTACATTACACAGATTTGTTTCTTAAGGTATATATTTTACACACGATCTAGTTGTATTTTCAGAAACGTGCCGCGGGGTAGTCTGTCACGTGGTGAAACTAGAGTGGGGAACACTCAGCAAGGGAAGGGTGTTCAACGGGCCCAAAGTGCTGTTGTCCTTAGGGTTCCACTGCCCCCGTCGCTGTGTCACGCGCCTGCTTCTCCTGAGCTTGGCTTGTAAGGTTCTCTCGGGGACAGGTGACTGACGCGCTTTCAGCGCCTTGGAGGACAGTCAGGCTCTAGGCTGCGGCTGCTGCCTCCCCTTGCCGGTCCTCACGGGTCCTCACTGCGTGTCTGGAAGGCACCGCTGCTCAGGGGACGGCCCCGCCCTTCTGGAGGCGGTGCTTTGGGTCATTCGAGCTGCCTGCTGCGCACCACCCGGTGGCTTCAGCGCATTTGCTCAGACCTTCGGAGCTTGTCCCGAGAAGTGGCCCGAGTCCCTGCCCGGGTTGCTCGAAAGGTCTGGATGTCACTCGGGCTCGTGTCCCGCCCCTCCCTCCTGTGCTCCGTGTTTCTCCCCTTAGGCCACCAGATGCCTGACAGAAAGTCTGGTCCTTAAAAAGCCTGTCCCCCAAGTGTAGCCTAACGGGGTGAAGAAAGCAGGGAAGCTCCGTGAGCGTCAACTCAGTACATTGGCTTCCAATAGGCACTAAAAAATTCTGAGCTGTTAGTTTCTGTGTATGATTTTGTATCTGGAAATAGTAAGGAAGGTAATTTGGGGCCCAATTGAAGAAGGTCATGACCATGAGACTGCGTGAGGATAAGTGGGTAGCCAGGGAGGGTCTGTGACCAGGGGGTGGCCCCTGGGGGACCGCATGTGCTGAGCCTGGGAGAAGAAGCCTGGGAGGCCAAGGGCAGGGCAGTTGTGCAGCCCTGAGAACGTTAAGGCCACAGTAGGGTGGTGACTGAGCACAGAAAGAGAAATGACAAATGCGATAAAACGTTTAGGCAAAATAAGTAGTCTGATGTGTGAGATGTGGAGGGAGCGAAAGTGAGGACCTTTCAAGGCCGGGTGACGGGAATCGCAGTACCGCCCACTAAAACCAGGAGTCGTTTCGGGAGGAAGACGAGGTTTGGGCCACAGAGTTTGGAAGTTTAGACACAGCCAGCAGGTGCGAGTGACAATCTTTCCCTGACGTCTGGTACTTCCCTTTGCTCTGTGAATCAAGCGGCTGATGTTTAGCTGGAACCGTTTAGTCGATGCCGTGCTGAAATGCCACAGCCTTCGTGGTACAGAAACGTCACAGAGCTTGACCACGTTTCTCTCCCCAGCAGGATCTATCACTGGAGATATCATCGACGAGCTGATGTCCTCTGACGGTAAGCAGTGTGAGGGTGGGCGCCTGTGTGTTGTGTGAAGCGTCACGGCCTGATGTTAACCTTAAGCCTCTGCTTTCCTGCAGTGTTCCCCCTCCTGCGGCTCTCCCCCACCCCCGCGGACGACTACAACTTTAACCTAGATGACAATGAAGGAGTGTGTGACCTGTTTGATGTCCAGATACTAAATTATTAGATTCCATGGACACTTGGGGCTGCTATCTACCTCTAACTGTATCTCTGTAGGCTTGCTAATAACCTGAGTATTTATAATGAACATAACGCCTGCCTAGTCTCTGATTCTGAAGTCTTCTTCCCTAATACCTTCTCTCTGGCTTCACAAAACCTCCACCTGAAAACAAAGGGCTCCCACTGCTGCAGGGAAAGTGACTTAATAGCCACCACACCCCACCCTTGGGTAACTGCTTCCTGGGACTTCGGCTGTTCTTCCAGTTCTCACCCCTTTGGTTTTTACTCTCATGAGAGGAAAGTTAAAAGTAGGCTTAAGGTCACCAAAAACAAAAATGGCCAAGGGCTCATTATTTGTGTTCCGCTTTTACTGCCATGAAACTGTCCGATTTCTGAGCTCCCGTCCGGACAGACAGTCACTGCCACGTGTGGAGCAAAGGGGGTGAGCAAGGCCGGGCCCTGTTCCCGGGAACAGAGTGTGTGAAGTGCCTTCTGGTTCAGCACTTTAAGTCATCACATTTGGTTGACTTCTGACATTCCTCTTTCCTAGGCTACAGGAAAGGTCTGTTTATGTAGTTTGTTTTTAAAATGTGCCAATGCCTGTACATTAACAAGATTTTTAAAAATAAAGTTGTATTAAACGTTTAATTTATTGGTTTTGGGGGGAATCTGATGCATTACCAGGTGCATTACAACTGAGCCATTAACCTCGTAGCTTCGTCCACACTCGCTGGTCTGTTTTCCTGACACTGCTGAGGAACCTGGAGGGAGGAAAGAATTTTATGTGGTTAAAAATTTAGATAACAATAGTGCACAAAAATGACACACACAGTCTACTACCCAACTTAATTTCTTCTAGTCATACCTTTAGAAACAGGATAAAATCTCATGTTCACAGTCAACATTTACGAATATGCTACACATACTGCACAGCCAGGTACACGGAGCCAAGTGCTAAAAACCACATTTGACTGACAGGCTATGGAAGTTGGGGCTTAATTTATTAGCCTTCAGTTTACTAAGAGGAAATAACCTCCACGCACCCGCTGTTTCGGCAGAGGTTCCAGGCAGAGGCCTCTGGAGAAGTGTGCAAGCTCCTTCTGTATGTCCACAAAAGCGTCATTCATCCTCTTAACCTTCTCATCATTCACAATGTTGATCTTTTAAAGAGGAAAAAGAACATTAGTCCATGATTTCATAACCATTAAGGATAAAATATACTCAACCTTAATTTAACCTTATTAAACCTCAACTCTTAACAAAACAACTGTACCCATTTGTGGGGATGCTTCACATTAAAACAGTCTTATTGGGAATTTTAGACAATAGACAAAAGGTTCTGTTTTAAAAATCCAGCCAGCATGGCTCAGGGGTTGAGCGTTGACCACTGGTCAACAGTTCAGTGCCCCGTCCGGGCACATGCCCAGGTTGCGGGCTCTATACCCAGTAGGGGGTGTGCAGGAGGCAGCCGATCAATGACTCTCATTGATGTTTCTCTCCCTCTCCCTTCCTCTCGGAAATCAATAAAGACATTTTTTTTTTTAATGAGAATTTTTTTCTACATTTGGATTTAAGAGATATTAGTCTCCATTTTTTAAAAGAAATGTTGAAAATCCTCTTGCCCTGTAGGAAAAGCTAAGAAGCTGTTTTAAATAAAAGCATTCGGCTTCTCAGTAGTTCTACCATCATGCTTTGCTTGTATACCACGAAGTTGGGGTGCTTAATACCTTCTTAAGATTTGTGGTAACTGGTTTTGCTTTACTTTTGCTCTTGAAGTTTTTTTGGCTGGCAATGTGGAATACGTTCCTGGGCTTCTGCCCTTTTCGTTTGTTCTTGGCCATTGTCCTAGAAAAGAAAGAAAAGGAGCTCGATGAAGCTGCCCACATTTATGACGGTAAATCAGTCAAGTTTTTAGAGCACAGGGACCAATTAACTCTAATAAATTCCATCTTACTGCTGACTTTTTAAAGCTGCTGCATGTATTTATTTCCATGTCTTCTGCCTCCTTCAGATTTCCTGCTGTTGCAGTGCAGGGTAGGTATCTAATCCTCTGCATCTCCAGCACCTGGCCCATAGGAGGCTCCACACTCCCTTCTGCTGCTTGAATCACTAATATGGACACAACTGCTCTTTCAGCTCCCTGCAGCACCCCACCACGTTAACCATCACCGCCCATCCTGCCGGTTCACATGCCGCTGTGCCACTCTGGTGCCCAGATCCTAGGACTGCCTCCTGTCCATTCCTGTCCACTTGCCCCATGTCCTCTCCTATGCACCCCTCCCCCAAATCAGACCTTAATCCTGCACTTCCTACCTCCCCCCCTTAAATTACTTTCACGACTTTCATATCACCTTTCATATGGCTCTTGCCTTGAAACTTCAGATATTCATTCTATAGCTAAATGCACACTAAGCCTGTGAGTTCTGACACCTCTCTCCAGTCTGTCTTTAACCATGCACGTGAGGAACAATTTTTAAAATATTAACAGTTAAGATTTATTGAGCCCGGCCAGCATGGCTCAGTGGTTGAGCATTGACCTAGGATCCAGGAGATGGAGGTTTGCTCAGGGTCAGGGCACATGGCCTGGTTGTGGGTTCGATCTCCAGTGGGGGCGTGCAGGAGGCAGCTGATCAATGACTCTCATCATTGACGTTTCTCTCCCCCTCCCTTCCTCTCTGAAATCAATAAAGATACATTAAAAAATTTATTGAGCTTTTACTACGTGTACAAGTACTATGCTTATGTTTTATGTGCTTTGACTAATTTGCTCCTCACAACGCTTTGTGGGAGGTACTACTTAACCCCATTTTACAGATTTAAGAAGAAAAACTGACGCGAAGGGAAGTCAACAATGCCCATTGTCACAGGGGCAGTAATCGGGATGCCAGGATTCAGAGCCAGATCCAGCCGTGGGTAGGCCTCTCCTGCGCAGGGTGGGGCAAAAGTAGATTCACAGTTGTGAGTACTCGAAACACAGTTGATTCTTGTATTACTGTTTTTAATTATTGTATTCTTTTCCACACAGACAACTGTAAACCTACGTTAGCCCAACCCTGTACACATAAAAGTGCAATTCAAAGATACGACGTAATATTCCTGGGTTACTGCTGCAGTCCCAGGTCTACTGGGTCAGACGTGGGCGGGGCAGACGCCTGTGGACCAAATCGGGGGGCACCTGCTGTGAGTCCAGTTTCACTAGAACGCGGCTCTGGCCGGTCCATTACGCGCTGTCTCGCGGGTGCCCCCTGCACAGCTGTGGCCCCGGAGCCTGAGTGTCCACTCCCCGGCCCTTTGCAGGAAGATTCCCCGCCCGCGCCCGGGCCCTGCGCCCGCGTCTGCCCCGCGCGGTCCGTGGAACGGACGCTCCACTGTCTCCCGGGCACAGGCGCAACCTGCTCGGTCCCTCGCTGGAGCCGGGCCCCGCACCCCTGTCACTCCCGTGTCGCTGGAGCCGGGCCCCGCACCCCTGTCACGCCCCTGCTGCCCCTCCCTCCGCCCGCACCACCCACGGTCACACCCCGCGCCCCTCTTGACCCCGACAGTGCCCCCGACGCGGCAGGAGAGGCGTTGCTGCGGCAGCGGCGCACCCAGTGGCCCCCACGGTGAACGACCTGCCCTCCAGCCGCAGCCCATGCCGACGCCGCGCTCCCGGTCAGGGCCGCACGCGGGGAGCGGCGACAGGTGCCGTCACCCGCAGGTTCCCGGGGAAGGGGCGACCCTCGCTGCGGGGACACGGC